TCCACAAGAACCAATACGGTTCATTCTTGTGTTACGCAGCACGTTTGAGCTTCAGCAAGAACCAATGAGGTTCATTCTTGTGTTACGCAGCACGTTTGAGCTTCTGCAAGAACCAATGAGGTTCATTCTTGTGTTACGCAGCACGTTTGAGCTTCCGCAAGAACCAATGAGGTTCATTCTTGTGTTAAGCAGCACGTTTGAGCTTCCACAAGAACCAGTGAGGTTCATTCTTGTGTTACGCAGCACGTTTGAGCTTCCACAAGAACCAGTGAGGTTCATTCTTGTGTTACGCAGCACGTTTGAGCTTCCACAAGAACCAATGAGGTTCATTCTTGTGTTACGCAGCACGTTTGAGCTTCCGCAAGAACCAATGAGGTTCATTCTTGTGTTACGCAGCACGTTTGAGCTTCCACAAGAACCAGTGAGGTTCATTCTTGTGTTACGCAGCACGTTTGAGCTTCCACAAGAACCAGTGAGGTTCATTCTTGTGTTACGCAGCACGTTTGAGCTTCCACAAGAACCAGTGAGGTTCATTCTTGTGTTACGCAGCACGTTTGAGCTTCCGCAAGAACCAATGAGGTTCATTCTTGTTACGCAGCACGTTTGAGCTTCCGCAAGAACCAATGAGGTTCATTCTTGTGTTACGCAGCACGTTTGAGCTTCCGCAAGAACCAATGAGGTTCATTCTTGTTACGCAGCACGTTTGAGCTTCCGCAAGAACCAATGAGGTTCATTCTTGTGTTACGCAGCACGTTTGAGCTTCCGCAAGAACCAATGAGGTTCATTCTTGTTACGCAGCACGTTTGAGCTTCCGCAAGAACCAATGAGGTTCATTCTTGTGTTACGCAGCACGTTTGAGCTTCCACAAGAACCAGTGAGGTTCATTCTTGTTACGCAGCACGTTTGAGCTTCCGCAAGAACCAATGAGGTTCATTCTTGTTACGCAGCACGTTTGAGCTTCCGCAAGAACCAATGATGTTTGTTATCGAGCGTCAAGCATGTTCTGTTGAGCTTCTGTTTATGTACACTGATCAATGTATATGTGAATAAAAGTCTAAATTCAATCTTTTCATCATAAAGCGATCGTGTCTCTTCAGAAATTTTGGACTAAACCGTTCATTTATATGGATGGATTCATATTGGAGGAAAAATTCTTTGTCTTCTATTCTTCTGTGTTCCGAAATAAAATCCTTATGGGTTTGGAACAACATGAGGGTGAGCAATAGCAGAATTCTCATTTTTGGGTGAACTAACCCTTTAATGTCTCAATACTTATAGAGGGCACTGTGTATAATAATCTCCAAATACTTCTATAATAACATTGGCTTTCCTCTGCGTGATTTTAAAATCAAATAAGCTGCCATGCAAAATGCCCCATTACTTTTTACAAAACAGACTTTCAATGAGGAGGGGATTATGAGTTAATGAATGTGGTGAGTAGTATTAATCTTCTCAGCAGCCTGCCTGGAGTATTCCTCACTCGATACTTGCCAGACTCATTAACATCCCGGGTCTCATTTAATAAATGTGTTAAAATAGGCTTAAGTAGATTAGATTTTATTATAGATTTTGTCTGCCGGTCCATATATTAAAGCCCCTGCAGGTCAGCCAGCCCACTCTATACGCTCTTCTGCGACGGTTATAGCAGGTAAAATATTCTCAAGCCAAATCAATCCAAAGTGTAGCGACAACACGAGACGACTTCTCTGACATCAATACAACAGCAAGCAGACATAACCGCATCACTTTGATCAGAGCATTTGTGTGGCCTCATTCTGCCATGGATCCTGACAACCTGGAGGCAGAGGCAAGAAAGGACATGCCATGATTAGGTGTGCATCTGAGGCTAACCACACACACACACACACACACCTCTCGCCGGTTTCTAACAAACATGACAGCTTGACATTGCACCTGGGTTCGATTCATCTGGATCAGGTCCCAGACAAGTGTGAAGAAGAGAGACAGCACTGGAACTGAGACAAAGAGAGTTTGCAGCCCTCCTAGTAACCTTGCAGAAACGTTGCAGCTTTTGTACATTTTGAGGAATGCTCAGCTGCTGCATGTACAGTATAGGGATGATTTTCAATAAATGCACACTCTGGCCGCACACATTCACACTCTCATCCTTCAGACTGTTTGATGAGATTCAGTTGCCATGGAGACAGCTGAAAGTGATTGATTGGCCAGCACCTGAAAAGTGCTCACCGAAACTTCTAGACCAACCAGTTATTTTTAAAGGGCCCTGTGGGAAATCTCAGCATGAAGGACGTGAATCAAGAGAAAGTTTGCTACATCTGTGCTGAAGGTCACTGCAAAAATACTGGCACAATTAAAGACGGCTCTCCCATTTGCGTCGCACATTAATGCGTCGATTCGCTCTAGAAGTTTGCATTTGCACGGCTTTGAGACCACAGCATGGATATCTGTCCTTCAGCTCTTTCTCTGGTTAAGAAATAACTGAAAATGAGAATCGTCACCAGAAATCGGAGATCAAATTAATATTTCTCCTTGGAGATGTGGCAAGGACAGTCTTAAAAGCATCTCACATTTAATTCCATCCCTTTTCCATCAACAGAACGGAGGTGAAAATGTTATTCATTTATCAAGAAAGAAGAATGCCATTTCATTTACATACAGTAGCTCAACTTATAAGCATGACGTCAGCAATGTCAAGGTCCCTGGTTTGATTCCAAAACGTACATTTTATAAGTGAGCTGCAGTATAGTCTGGCAAATATATAAATGTAGAGGTCAAATGTCTTTTTTGAGCGTTCTGAGTTTTCACTTATCCACCAGTTCAAATAAATCATTGTTCATGAACAGGCATGAACAGATCCTCTCTCAGGACTAGACATGACTCTCACGCTGGGCCGCTCAGAGGGCCGGAGACTGGACAGAAAGTCGAGAAACATGGACACAAATGCTCGTCTGTAAACCAAGACAATGTGAAAGTGAGAGGACAAAACAAAGCAATTTGTAACCATTTCGAAGACAATTTGTGCTGCGTCAGGAGGATCATGTCAACTGAATACAAAGTGCAACACTGGGAAGATTCAGAGCCTCTGCTCGATGGGCAATTACTACATTTTGTCCTCTAGGACCATAATTTAAGATACAATGAAAATATATATATTTTTTAAAACTCTATTTTGGATGCAAATAAACAAAGTTTCAGTATTAAGTTGGTCTACTACTAAAAATAAATATACGACTATTTTCATCTCTGTTTACAAATAAACACCTATATTAGTCTTGCAAATGTTTTTAAATTAATGAGTGCACTCATGGATTCAAATATTGGATGATCTGCGATTTAAACGGAGTATAACATCGCCCTCCAGTGGACGTTTGAACAAATCAGTTATATCGGTTTTTTTTTTAATGTATCACTCATCTAAATAGCATCTGTTAAACTATCAAACCAATCCAAATCAATTTTTAAGACAACATGATCATTCTTTGTAAAAAGAAAGTGATTATTAGTCATATTTATTGGTCAGTCATATTGTGAAATAATATTACAATTTAAAAGAACTCATGTATAGTTGAATACATTTAAAAATGTAGTAATTTATTCCTGTGATCAAAGCTAAATTCTCAGCATCATTACTCCAGTCTTCAGTGTCACATGATCCTTCAAAAATCAATCAAATATGCTGATTTGCTGCACAAGAAACATTTATTATTATTATCAATGTTGAAACCAGTTCTTGTTCCTTAACATTTTTGTGGAAACAATGATACCATTCAAACCTTTGTGGTAAGATTACAAAAAAAGAGCGGGATTAATACTTTTATTCATCAGGGATGCATTCAATTGATCAAAAGTGACAGTGAAGACATTTATAATGTTTCAAAAAACTGTTTTTAATAAATGTAAAATAAATATTATTCATTGAACTTTCTATTCATCAAAGAATCCTGAAAAAAGTATCACCATTTCCACAAAAATATTAAGCAGCACAACCGCAAAAATATATTATTTTGTAATATTTCACTGTGATTAAATAAATGCAGCCTTGTTGAGCAGAAGAGACTTCTCTCAAAACATAAAAAATTGTAATGTTGCCAAACTTTTGACAGGCACTGTGTGTGCATGTATGTATATATAGTTAAATAAAACATTAGACATTATTTCATCTGAACTTTTTTTTAATATAAAGCTTTTGCTTTTATACAAACATCAAAGACATAAGGCTTTCTTTTTTTCTTTTTACATAAATTACATTTCAAATACACAGCAATACTGCGATTATATTGTCAGATTTTACACTATATTGTTAATTAAAAAATAATAATAATAATATTTGCTACTGAAAATGAAGGTGAAACTCCATTAAGATGAGTTTTAATCTGCTTATCTCTCCTGAAAGAATATTTGCAAATATTAAATCTGCAATAAAAAGGCGGTAGTTCTGTACTAATAACATTCCATAAAAGCCTCTACTTACCAGAAGGTCTCAATGTATCTGTACAAGAATTCAGTGCACACTAAAGACAGAAGAGATCATACACAACCCTGATGTCAGCAAGATCTTGTTACATGGCTGAACCCGCATATCCTGACTATGGCAGACAGTTAATTACAGATTTGATCGTTTTTGGTAGGATTTGAAATGACAATGACCAAAAATAATCCAGCATCACCTTTTAAGATGGCCGACGTTGTGCTGTAAACGACGGTCTGAATTGTCCTAACTAAACAAAAAAATTAAAAACATTTTATATTCTCAAAGCCGATTAGTTAATGCTACAGACTAAAAAACAGAGAGGTTGCAGGTCAAATCCCAAACAGTTCAGGAATTGCTGAGTTAGTGTGAACACATTCCTTGTCAGTCATTCTGCCCTTGAGAATCCAATAAACAACCATTATCCTATAAACTTCAAATCATCATCAAATGCTTATAATGTGCATACAGAGAGGTCACATCTTGCCTGCGGTAATTACATTGCAAAATGTTTCAGATCCACATTAACGTAAACGTATAACTGCCTTCACACTTTCACTTCACATTTAATGAGCGCCAGGCCGAGAGAATGTAAGATAGAGAGATTGTGTGCAAGAGCTTTGCGTGCCTTTGTGTCATTGTTGGTCTATGTGAAGACATCTCACAGGTGTCCACGGGTCTGTCAGCCCAACTGCACGTCCATGTCGATGGGACACAGCACGAATCTGGGGTCAAGTTTAGGCGTGTAGTCACCAAAGTGTCTGGAAGCCTCGGTCCCGAAAACATCAAGCACTTTTCTGTTCATCAGAGCAAACCTGGACAAAGAAATCATAACTTTATGTGTTCAACAATTCATATGCATAATGGGACTTGATAATCAATCAGATTTTCCATTAATCCTCACCTGCCCTTTGTCAACCGCAGTAGAAATTTCCAGTATGATGGTCTCAGATTTTGCACTTCCATGACCGCCTGATCAGATCCATCCAGGGCATATCAAACAAAATTATTTCAAAATAAATCACATGAACTATGGGCATGTTTCCAGTAGGTTTTTGAAAATGTCTTGAATTTATTGATTTGCAATTTAAAACCTGGCAAACCTATTTTTGCCTTTCTTTAATTGAAACCGCACTTGGCGTGATTCTCATTCAGTTCATGACGGAGTCATCAATAAGTCACACGGGCACAAACAGCTTCTGCATTTTAATGTAGTTTGTATTTTCCCTTGGTGTAAAACTGTCCTTGGATATCCAGAAGGTCCTTTTAGGTAGATTTTAAACTCACCGCTTGAAAACAGATGGCGGTGGAGATGGCATAGATGATGGTGTCAGCTTCAGGGAAGTAAGGAAACCTGCCTGCCTCGATCCCTTTGAAATACAACGTCTAAAAAGACAGTATATATATGCGTATACATTGTTAATCATCAATTCACTAAGTTATATTTTAAATAAAAATAATAATTTGAATGATTAAATAAAAAAAAATATTATAAATTATTTTTAAATCCAAAAATATCTATTGCACCTTTATATAAACTGTATAAAATATGATTAGTGTTTTTTCATAGTTTTTTATTAATCATTTAATATACAAGGCTTTTATGGTAATTTGTCAACAGAAAAAAAAAGAAGCCAAAAAACGCTGATACTTGGTTATAAATACACTGTATATTAATAAAACACTTCTAAATGCATTTTATTTGATATGTGTCAATCATGACAACTCTCTGGATAGTTTTAGCCAGTTTTTGAATGTGGCAATGTTAATGTATTTGGCTGATGACGTTGATTAAACCTTCTGCTTCTGCAGAGCAAGTATGGACTTGCTACTTCTAATAGATACACAGACACACTGCTTTGAGCAAGCAAGACAAGCTGCTGCTGCATAAATAGACACAGATAAATCCCGTAGCAGATCTAGGCAGGTGGAGGGTTTCAGAAGAACTCTGACAAGCCAAAAGCAAACACTAAACCAGACACATCATTGAGAAGCCCTACTCGTTGGAAACCACTAAAAAACAAGATAATTCTTACCTCCACTAGTTTAGAGAAGAGGTACATGGAGATAGTGGTGCTCTTGTAGAAGAACATTGACGTGCCGGCAAGAAAACCTGAAAAGATGGAGAAAAGGGTGAGCTGAGAATCTCTAATGGCTGTGCAAAAGGAAAGGGGTTCAAAACACAATTTACCTGCTATGAGAGCGTGGAGCTCGTCGTCCAGGTTCCGCATCCATCTCAGTAAACAGCTTGTGCCCTTTCATAAAATGGAAGTGAGATGAAGAGAGAGAAATATCACATCTGAAAAATACGTTACTGAGAAAGGTGAAGGAAACAAAACCCCCTACAAGTTGCAGAGAATCTTGCGGTCTCATTGGAAAAACAAGCACTGGATCTCAGTGGAGATGAAGTACCTTGTATATACTGACAAAAGATCCCAGGAAAGCTCCTAGCTGGAAGTTCTCTTTGTTGTAGAGCAGCCAGAGCAGACGAGAGGGTTTGGTGAAGGCCTGTCTGAATGCTGATGGAACCTTCAAACAGCACTGGATGAGGTAACCCACGCTGAACATTCGGATGAAACCCTTTAAAAAACACAAAGCAAGCATCTCAGAAGCTGCTCTCCAGAAAACATCCAGCAACTTCACATCAGCTGTCAGTTAGTGAGCAAAGGGCACTGCTTTATCAACAGAGCCTTTCACCCAGATGAATGCTACACGTTTATGCATTCACATTCGGTCACTCTCCCATTCAAACACATATGCTCAGGACAAACAGATGAATGGTTTGAAAGACAGCAGGTTTGGTGGTCTCAGACTCTTACTTTAACACAGTAGGAGATGCAGTTGTCCTGATAGTGTTTGCAACATCTATGCCTGGGTCCATGTTTGCATCTAAAGGGGACAACACACACACAATGAATGCAAATGCACAATACGTTATAAAGCAGGGGAACATTCACACATGACAATGAAGCTGACAGTTCATTTTTATTCCTGGTTGTTCAACAAAGTGGCAAATCCAAGTAAAACCTCTTTTTTACCCACTATTAATGTATCAAACAGCACTGAATGAGGTAGTACATTTTGATTTGTGGTCAGTAATTTAAAAAAAGAATGTTATAATGTAAGAGATTTCTTACAAATAAATGCTGGTCTTTTGAACTTTCCAGTCAAATATCAAATAATGCCTCATGGTTTCCACAAACATTAAGCAGCACAACTGTTTTTAACTTTGATAATAATAAGAAATTATTCTTGAGCATCAAATAAGCATATTAGAATGATTTCTGAAGGATCATGTGACACTGAAGACTGGAATAATGATGCTGAAATATCAGCTTTGTCCATAAATAAATTACATTTTAAAATATAAAAACTTTTTTTTTTTAAATTTCTCTTTTAATTTTTCCATTAATTTTTTAATGTTACATTATTTTTTAATGTTTTAAAGTTTTAATGTTTAATTATATCATATTTTTGGTGGTATTGGATAGAATTAAATGAAGTTTTCTGTAAAAAATCTTGAATGTAAGTTTGAAATATATGTTTTCTAGGTATATATATCTCACACTCACATAGAGTCTAGGAGTTTGCGTGTAAATGCTCCGATGCAGCTCCCCCTGGAGGCAGGCGTGTGCTCTGGTCTCTCATCCGGTGGCTGCGCGTCTCTCTCTGAACCCTGTGTGTACGCGTGCTCAGCCAGGCAAGAGTGTGTCGGGATCTCCTCCTTCCCAACTATAAATCTGCCACAGCCAGACACATAATCTCCTTCAGCACCCTGACATGACTTTATACTCTGAACAGGGTGTTTCCAAGGGGGCCTTAGGATTAACTGAAAATCCATGGGAACTTAAGTAGTACAGAAGTCATAGAAATTATAAATAAACTTACTTTAAGGCAGAGAAAGCAAAGCCATTGAGTCCGTCTTTGCATCTGAAGATAAAACCAGAAATGGGAAGGGTCAACGTTTGTAATCGAACAACCAGGATTTAATATGTGTTCTGAAGAGTGTGTTTGTCCTTCTTAAAGGGATAGTTCACCCAAAAATCATTCACTCACCCTCGAGTTGTTCCAAACCTGTATAAGTTTCTTTCTTCTGCAGAACACAAAAGATGATATTTTGAAGAATGTTGGTTACCAGACAGTTGACGGGCCCCATTGAAATCCATAGAAGGTTTCTTCCATACTATGGAAGTCGACAGGGACCATCAACTCGTTGGTTACCCATATTCTTTAAAATATCTTCTTTTGTGTTCTGCAGAAGAAGGAATTTATACAGGTTTGGAACAACCTGAGGGTAAGTAAATGACATAATTTAATAAACTATCCCTTTAATGCTGGTCCTGGAGGACCTCAGCAAGTCTTGGAGCCTCTACTAACGAGAAGATGAAGTGTTAAATAAACGAGATAACCAGTGCTGGTGTCTTCCAGGACCAGGACTGAGAACCAATAAGCTGACCAACATACCTGAAGAAAAACATGTAGAGAGATGCAGTCAAGCAGAAGAGAAGAACCTGGGGGGAGACAATTGGAAAATATGAGATAGACACAAAACCTTATGATCAAGGTAAAAACATTTCTGTCGCTTTTAATCAATTGAATGCATCCATGCTGAATAAACGTAATAATTTCTTTAACTAAAAAAAAATCTTATTAACAGTAGTGTAAACTGTAACGTACCTCTCCATGTTTCATAGGCTTAACGAGACCCCTCGTGACAGCCATCCGAAAAATCGTCTCCGTTGCCTGGAAATGACATCATTTTTAATCACAGCTTTCCAGAAACAGTAACATAAGTGACAGATAACAGATGCAATGTTGACAACTGCCAGGAAATGGTCAAGCAAGTATGAAAAAACTGTCAAGAAGACTTAACACAGTGGAACTGAAAAGAAGCGATGCTGAATCGTCTTACCAGGTTTGCCATGTAAATTGTAAGAAGTCCTCTCCTGCAGAAGACAGACGAATTACATAGGATCCGATCTCTTTATATAGGAGTAATCAGGTTTTAGTGATTTTAAGGCCCAGTCACACCAAGGACGATAACAAGAAAGTTTTAATAATCAATAAAGAATGATAGTTTTAATGATTGTTCTAATTAGACAATGAGACAGAGACGTCCACACCACAACTAGAACAATAATGACACGGCAGAACAATATTGTTGGAATCACTTTCAGAAACAATTTCCAGCTGATAAATGATAAAAACACTGACATCCAATCAGAATCCACCTGACTTTAACTCTTTCCCCACCAGCGTTTTTGAAAAAAAGTTGCCAGCCACCACCAGCATTTTGAAGTTTTTTTTCCACAAAACGTTCGTGGCCCCCAGAATATTTTGTTGTATGAATATCTGAACATGTAATATATCAAAACAGACCCTTTGCTTTTAAACAAAATAAATCTTTTATTCTAGTTTCATGCATTTTATAAACAATTGAATGTGTTTAAGTTTCATAAAAAAAGCAACATTTTGAACAAAAGCTGAGAAAATCACCTTTTTTTTTTCAAACGCTTTTCTGCTCTTTTTTTTGCCTGTGTTTTGATCCAGATTCTCTACTCTTTCAGAAGTTGTGTCACAGCATTGTCTCATAAATGACGAAAAATTCTGTCAATGGCGAAGAAAGAATTAAAGAGCTCAATTGGTGTGGACACTAACATAGTTATTATATTTATCATCCATTGTGTGTGAACGAGCCTTTAATCTTTTCCATCAGAGAAAATGTACATATGCAGCCAGGTTGTGTAAATGTGGTTTAAACTTTGCATTAAATTTGCATAAAAGAAAGGCCAAAGGAAATCCGATCAGCATGAAAAGAAAAAGCCAGGGCTAACCTGCTTTTCCGCTCTATTAGTATGGCGATGTATGAGGCCGGCAGTGCCGCCCCAAAGCCGGCCGACCAGGAGTAGAAACGTCCCAAAAGCTTCCTGAATAACAGAAGAAAAAGAAAGGAAACAATGGAAAGGACAGTAGGTCATTTATATTCATAAACTACACAACAGAGCTAACTGACGTGCTTTCAACCGAGGATAATATCACTGCTGAATATTTGTCTCATTTAGAAGGGATTTAAATGTATTCACAAATTAAGTGCCCTTCATTCCATTGAACCGGTCATGCAGAATAATGGTCATAAATCCAAAAGTTTATCTCAGTAGGCTACATCATTTATTTGATGTGTCAAAGGTCTTAACAATCCTATTTGGACGAATATGTGCGTAGACTCTGAACAGCTGATAAGGACATGGATTCAAAGGTTGCTTTACAGCTCTTGTTGCAGCAACAGTACACGTGGGACGGCAAACATTTCCAAGTATTGCTTGTTAGCAGAATTCTGTTAAGATTACCGGAGAATGCAGAAGAACGCAATGTAGAGGCCTCCATTTGCGGTCAGGAAAGACGTGGATTGCAGGATCTCAGGAAGCAGCCTTTTCTTGTAATAATCTTTTTTCCTCCTCCTTAAAATGGCTGCAATCTGGAACACAGAAAAAAATCTATTGAATGTTGAGGATATTTCCTGTTATTCAAATAAATTTATTTCTGATTTTACTCTGAGCTTTTAAAGTCACCTTGAAATTAAAATTGACAATTCTTATTTTTTATGGAATATCGCAGTACTTATTATAAATGATTTATCCGTTCACATAATTTTATTAAATTCATGCGGCCTTGTAATCTTCAAAATAATTTCTCCCTCTTGCAGTGACATCTCTTCTCTGATGATGCGTTTACTGGTGCGAGGGCAGGACAACCTGCCACTCACATGATCAACCAATAGCAAACGATAATGATCCAACCATCCAATCAATTCCCCAATTTCTTGTTTGAGAAGCTGGCAACTTCGGTTTTATGCCAACTTTTATGCCACACTGTGGTTTGTCATCCAAATACCACTGACCTACTGTCTAATGATAGACTGACTGAGGCATAGTTTTTGTGAAACTGAATCAAATGCCAGCACTGCAACCCTACAGTTCAGGTGTTGCACCACTATGAACTGCAGTTTTGCAATGGAAGCAAATGACACATCCAAAGTTGACAACACAATGATGATCCCTCTGTTAGATCTATAAAGACTGACAGCCAGTTATGTTAAAGTCATCACAGGAACGTAAATACAAGATAACATTCCCTGATGAATAAATATACTAATGTAATGTGGCATTTAGCCAACAACCTGTGGTTAAAGTCACCATGAAATCAAAACTGACAATTCTTTTTTTTTTTATGGAATATTGCCGTATTTATTATAAATGATTTATCAGTGCATAGCTTTATTAGGGCCAGAGCACCGATGGTTGCTAATTATTAGTTTATTTAATGAGGGAAAATTCGTGAAAACAAATCGTTCAAGCACGTGTGACACCAAATATGTCTCCCCATGAGATTATGACTCCCCCTGCTTCTACCTATGACGGTTAGGATTAGATGTGAGCGTTAGAGATAGGGACCAATAGGTAGGAGCCTAACGTTACCCACTGAATGAATCAATCAGAAAAAAGGGTGTCAATTTCGCTAGAAAGATTCAACCGATTCATCGAAAAGATCCAAAACTCCAAAACCGATTCGTTCACGAATCTGATTGGTAAGTTTTAATGTGAGCCAGTGAACACCCTGGCCAAATAAAACATCTGAACCTAAACCTTACTTTGGTAAACAGTAATTGTTCATTTTAAATATGCAGTTTCAGTTTAATGAGAATGATTGTGGAAATCTAACAGACGAACCAGGCAGTTTACCATCAAATTAAGTATGTCAAGCATAATTTCAATTCACAACATAATTCAAAGAAGACTGAATTGCGGAAACGTGAACATTAAACAATAAGACACTGAACAATGGAAGCGCAAGTTTTGCACAAATAAGTTTCGCAAATTAGCATTTGACAGTTTGATCAGTATCATTCAGCAGCTCTCTCTCTCTCTCTCAGCTCATTTGAGCATGTCATCAGTCATACGACCTTTCCTGGACAATTTGAATGCTAGTAAATGTAAAACACGACGGGTTGAGACAGACTTTTGTGTTTTTATTTCTAAATAACTTAGCAACTGTTACGGGCCCTCGCATCGTCCTGCAGGACTCTGATGTAACTTAGCTACCAGGCTAACTGCGCCCTTGCCAGGGTGAATTAACGTTTAGATCCGCGCACATACACTCACCAGATACAGAGGAGCGTATATCTTGAATGAGACCTCCAGAGCACCGGCTGTCACCTGGAGGGTGGAATTCGTACATGAGGTACTCCATGTGTGTCCTATCTCATAGCAGCTATGCGGTATGGACTTACTGAGAGCAGCCATGATTAGTACCGCACGTCGGGACTCGGGAGCGCGCGTCCACTGGTTCTTGCAAGAGCGCTCCCGATGAACGCGCGCACCCTGGAAGGGCAGACCAGATACCATAACTGCCACGGTTATTGTTTCCACACACAAAAATCATTTTAATTGATTATGTAATAAATATTATTTGTTAGTTACAATATAAGTGAATAATTTTTAATGATATTAATAATTTACATTTAATAATTTAGCAGACAAAGCGCCTTAAATAACTAACAGAAGCAATCAAACCAACAATATGTAAATGCGGTGACTAGTCCCAGTTAGTTTAGCACACTACACGTAATTAATTACAGAAAGATTCGGAACATTTCTCATAACTAAAGCAAAACTAAACTAAAGAACTAAAGCAAAGCATTAACTGTGGTGACCATATAGCTGGAGGGTGTTATGTGATGTATAATCGATTTATAATGATCCTGGCTTTGAAATTACCTTTTTTATGCATTCATTGCTATAATGAGTCTGATTTTTAATCTTTCTAAATATTGGCACCCCAATAACAATTAGCAAACACATCTATAAATTACAAATTTATTATAAATATAAAATAATTAGTGTGCGCCCACTTAACAATGAGCAAATCTGTCTATATAAGTAGCAGACCTCCACAAACCACTCGCACGACTAGTGCTTCCTCAATAATTAGTAATATTACTAAAATCACTGTATAAAAAAAATAGGCAACACTTTATCCCCGTTTCATAGACTATACGCTTAAGCGAAGTCCCAGACTAAAATGCATGGTTAAGCTGATTTAACTAAAAGCAACTTATACTATGTCAGTGCTATTATTTTGTCTCAAGATGCACAGCAGCAGTAATGCTTTTTTTAAACAAACATTTATAAAAGCTACTTAAACAGGGTATCTGCACATTTTTTAACAGCAAATTTAATGACTTTTAAGACCTTTTTAAGTCCTCTAAAAGGCAAATTTAAGACTTTACCACGACAAAAAAAACCAGGAAAATGTTCAGCACGACACGACAGTGTTAATTTTGGCAGCCGTTTTTGTTTTAGTCTTAAGATGAAAATGCTTATTGGTCTTAGTCACATTTTTGTAATTTTCTCTTTCATAGTTTTAGTCTAGTTTTAGTTGACTTCAAGGTAACATTTGAATCAAGGTAACAGGCTGTATTGACAATTAACTCTTTAGCAGTAGCACTTGTGCAATTCTACATATCCCTGTTCCTTAGTTCAGTGGTACTCCAATTTTTTAGAGTGCCGTAACCCCTCTTGCACTTAGACTGCAGTCACACCTTTTCCATTAAAGGTGCTCTAAGCGATGTCATGTGTTTTTTAGGCCAAAACATTTTTTGTCACATACAGCAAACATCTCCTCACTATCCGCTGGCTGCCTGTCCCCTGAACACACTGTAAAGAAACGCGATCTCTGTAGACAGCCCATGCTTCACAAACAGCACCAAAAACAAACTGCAGCGACCCGCTCCCCAAAACATAACAAACTGTTCCAGCCAATGACCGACAAGAAGGGTTTGGGGGTGTGGTTTGGGGGGTTAGTGTGCGGATGAGGAGGAGGGAGGGTCTAGCTAGCCTCCGTTTTGTTTGACAATAGTTCGAACGTCAACAAGAAGTGACGTCACCCAGGATCGCTTAGAGAACCTTTAAGGGACAATATCTGCCCCTTTTAATCGATTTTTTCCAGTTAATTTTTTACCTTTATAAATACTTTTATAAAAGAAATAATGCTTTAAATAAAACAATGTTCAATAAATATGCAATGATGGTAAAAACGAGGTGATACTTTTTAACATTAAATTAAAATCGCCAGTAGGTGGCGGTAAGTCACTGTCTTTATGAGTGAGTCATCCGTCATCGAGTCATTCATTCATTCAGTATCAAACACAACAGTCTATGGTAACAAAGCAAGTGGCTGTATTTATGAACGGGTCATTGAATCTCACGATTCGTTCAAAGCCACAGATTCGTTCTCGAATCACCACTGTCTGCTGCCGTGGCTTTTGTTGCAAAATAGCAATAATATGCAATAATATGATCAACATTAAAAACACTGCTGGATATCAGCCTGTATTGATCGCAGATTTAGTCACACAAACAGCGCAAGCGGCTCGTGACAGAATAAAGACCAACTGAATGACACTTTAATTAATGTAAGTAGAAAATCTCAAATGAAGATCACTGAACTCCAGCTTACTTGTCAGTGTTTTCAGATCATCCGCGCTTCTTCAGCAGTGTAGAGAGCGCGCGCGAGCATGGTTGCCAGATACTATTGACAAGACCGGGTAGAAAGCGTGTTATTTTAACAGAAAAGCTCTGACTGGGGATTTAATTATTTAAATCTGGCAACCCGACCATAAGCATGAACGGTCGTAAACACCGTCTGTAATGTGTTGTTGTCTCCTACAAGAAATTTAAGGTCCGTACGTGAAATTTAAGACCTCCTTATTGGAAATTTCAGATTTTAAGACATTTTCAGACCTTAAAAAGCGAAAATGTTATTTAAGACCTTTTAAGACTTTTTAAGGACCCGCGGGGACCCTGTTAAATGTCCTAATTGAACTAAGGCTTAATCCTGGCTTAATCTAAACCCTGTCTGAGAAACAAGGCCTATATTTTTTGGGCAAAGGATTTAATCAACTCAGCACAATAATAATCCAATCTGCACAAAAATAGTGCGGCAAGGACTCCCATTACTATGTAGAGTCATAGTGTTGATTTAACTGGATGAATATAATAGCTGTAATTTTCAAGAATATCAAACTGTTGCAATTACGCTGCATTTTGTTATACACCAAGAATTATTTTAAAGAAATGACAAGGATGCTGACAGCTCAAGTGCCTTTATTGGGACAAGAAAAACAGCTCAGAGCCACTCATTGTTAATGTGGATGGCTTCTCCTAAAAAAAAAAATACAAAAAGAATGGGGCAAGATATTAAATACATAACACTTGAAAAGCTAAGACGATGACAGAGAGAGACACACAGGCTAGTGACATCAGTCATCCTCATCCCAGTCCTTCTTTCCTTGTGGAGCTTTGGGTCCACCAGCCGGCTTGGCCATTATAATCTGTGGAGGAGAAGCAGACATAATCAGACACTTAAAAGAAAAAAAAAAGTAAAGACAGTGCAAACGTTAGCAGGGGAACATCCTGAGGAAAAAGTGTTTTTAGTGCATGCGGCATGCAAGTAAACTGCACCAAAATCCCCAGATGACATTCAAAGTGTCACAGAGACTGAAGTTAGTGATGCTTGTGAAGTGCAATCCTAGATCTAAAACTGATAGTTATGAAACAACCATTATAACCAGTCCAATCATTATCTCTTGGTTTTCAGGATTAAATGATCCAATTAAAAAGTTCTAGGATAAAAACCATCTGAATTAATATTTTTCAATGTGTTAATACAAATTAAAACAGCATAACTGTTATCTGTGATGTAAAGACTGCAGTCAGGCTAAACTTATTTCAACAACAAATTCAAGGTGAATTTCCACACAGTGCTCATGCAACCCGGTTCACTCCAGTGGTTAAGCACTCCAAACAGTGGCTTTTGTTTGTGCACCTTTGCTATTATTTTGATTTCTTATCAATGATGTGTATCAAATTTTTCTGGTTCGTCTTCCCAATCGTCCTTGTCCCAGTGTCCTTGCTGTTTGGGGGCTCTGGGTCCCCCTGCTGGCTTTGCCATAATGATCTGGCATACACACATCAGATTATAATGCAGAAAAAACAGGCTAACAAAGCACCTGAATTGATAAATATGGATGGATTAAGAAATTGAATGATATGCAAATAATTGTAAAGTGAAGCACTAACCTGATCCACACGGAGGATGGTGATGGCTGCGTTTGTGGCCAACTTGATGCCCCAGTGCTTCACCAGGTATGGGTCGAGGATACCAGCCTCCAACATGTCCTTCACCGCAGGCCCCTCTCCCTAAATGGTTTAAAAAGTGGTTTTTATAAAATGATAAAACCTTACATTTCAGCCTTTAAACCATTTTTATGAAAAGGGATGAGTTCAAAATGATAAATGATTTTATTTTAGATACATTTTTAGAAATGCGACAAGTTTGCAGGTACGATATAAACAAATTACAAACACCTTAAGGAAAACATTGCCATAATTCATCAACAGTATATCATAAGCAATCGCCTTGCATAAATGTGTGGCATCCATTCAACTGCGAACCGCTGTGAAACTACAAGCCTGTAAAATGCATAACAGCGCCGCATTTTTACTTTGAAACGACTCAGCGCTCAATTAAATCGCCCTTTGAAGATTAATATTCGAATTAAACCATAAGGTGATTAGCATTTTTCTGTCCCCAAATTTAAGACCTCTTGAAATGATAATTAAGACAATTCTTACACCATTTAAGACTTTTTGTAGCCTTAAATTGTATAAAACCTGACTTTGAAATGTATTATTTAAAATGCATGATTTAGAGACCTTCTCTATTTATTTCAGGATTGCTGCCTCTAAATTATAAATAGCTTCTCTTCTCCCATTGCGGTTTATACTTGTAGCCCTTACAAAGCAAGCGTTTGCTGCGGGCCCCTCACCTCAATATCAAAGCCATAGTTCTTGTTGCCCTCATGGTGTGTGGCGTAGAGTTTGGAGATCAGCTCATTGCCCTTCACGCCAGAGTTTTCAGCCAGAGAACGGGGCACTGCTTCAAACGCCTCTGCGAACTTCTTGATGGCGTACTGCTCCAGGCCTGGGCAAGACTTTAGAGGACGTTTTCAAATTATTTTCACTGTTAATGGTGTGCCAACAGCAAAAGGAAATGAAAAAGAGTGATTTACTTACTTCTCCATAGGAGGTGAGGTGTTTCGCAAGCTCAATTTCAGTGGCACCGGCACCTGGACAAAGACGCGCATCCTGAGGGGACATAGTTCTGTTAGTCACATTTTTTTCATGATTTAGTTAGAAGTGGATTGGATTATGGTGGATTTTTAAACTAGCTCACCCTGACAAGGACTTTAAAGGTGTTAACACCATCATCGATGGCAC